CCTTGAGCAGCTTGAGCTTGTTCTGTGTCTTATATGACATGATATAATGACATAACTAAATGAATACACAAAAACTTAGAAGCACACAAGATATGAGCAGCTGAGGAAATGTTTATCTGTCTGCTTTAAACACGAGCAATGCTGCAGGAGATGATACACTTTTACTGTATACACATGATATCAAGGATTCTTAAAGTCATATAAAAGACTATAAACTACTGGTTACACAAGCGACTTGAATAAACACTCGGCTGCATTTGTTAACAGTTCAGTGTCAGTGAAATATTCCAAAGACTGATGGGGAGAATCTCATGAAAACACACGGCCAGCTCATGATTCAGCCCCAAAATCAGAAGAGAGAAACAAGAAATCACATTTTGCATAAAGAAAATTAAAACTATGTTAGACTTTTTGCATCATAATATTATTTCCATGATAACTGAGCACATTTTCCCTCAAATTATCATTACTGAAATGCATCCAGATGTTACTTTTGAGTAAATGATGCCCTTGATGCTCTGCAGTGAATCTCATTAGGTTTGTTTTTTATTTAAATCAGCATAAATTGCATGCTTGCGAAATGCATTTTCCTTTCAGATATAAAAGCATTACAACAAATATTACCACACTGCATGTAACTAGTGGACTAAGACCCAAAAATAAAGGTTGCTGATCTGTTCTGATGCATAAAAAAAGCTAAAAAACTAATATTGCATTTCACTAATGAGAGTTTGAGGGTAAATGTCCTTAATTGTCATGAAAATAATGGCAAGCAATGCAAAAAATCTTAATGATCCTAAACCAGGCTTCATTGTCTTTATGCAAAATCTAAATTGCACGGTGAAATGTGAGCAGCACATGTTGTTTTGGGTTTAATGAGATTCACCCGGTGATCAGAGACATTCAGGCCGGTTTGTGAGAGAATGTGAGCTTTGCTGTGGCATCAAATCTGGCCGTCCAGCGATCTCTCTCAGCTTTTGTTTTCTGACTGACTCTCTGCTTGCTCAGCAATCGACTATAGAAATATTTTGGCAGGCTCGCGCTTTGTTTTCATTTGACAAAAGATGTGTGGTGGTAGCGGGGCGAGGGGGCAGGGCGACGGGCCGGCGCTCGCTCCCTCGCTTTTTTTTCAATCTAAACAGCAGGAGGAAGTTGTAAATCATAGTAATGTACTCTGCCGTAATTCGAACCAGCAGGGAGAGCAGCACACACACACACACACACAACATACGGCGTGAGTTTACAGTCGGCACAAAGACGCTTTAATCAGTGAAAATGAGCCAGATCCCCAATCACAGCCAGTCACAGAAAATACACTTATCACACATCCTTTCTCTATATAGATAACTTTCACATGCTTCTTCTCCCTCTGGTGCTGTTTGATCATTTTTTGACAGATTTTTTTTTAAAGAATTTTCAGCATGGTACACAACTTAGTAAAGGTTTCGGCACTTGCTATGTGAACAAAAACGAAAAAATAAATAAATAAATAGTCACACTTGTACTCGTCGTGGTCGAAAATGACTGCACTGGAAATGAATGGGAAGCAAATTTCATCTAGTGGAAACATTTAGTAATCCACCAAATAAAATCTTACTAAAAGCTCATTTGTTGCAATATCATCTCCAAATTTGGAATACAACTTATTTAGATTTATTTGATTTTCACATAGCTTTAGAGTGAATAACGTTTTGGAAAAAAACTAAAACGATTAATCGCATCCAAAATAAACGTTTTTGTTTACATAATATATGTGTGTGTGCTGTGTATATTTATTATGTATATATAAAGACACACACATACAGCATATATTTTGAAAATATTTACGTGTATGCATTTATATCATATATAAATATATTTAATATATAAAAATGTAACATATTTTTCTTAAATATACACATGCATGTGTGTGTATTTTTATATACATAATAAATATACACAGCACACACACATATATTATGTAAACAAAAACGTTTATTTTGGATGCGATTAATCGCGATTAATTGTTTGATATCACTAATAATATATACATATATTTTTTGTGCATTTTTCATAATTATAAATTATACAAAACTTTTTTTTTAGATTGACTTTTTTTTCTTTTTTTTTGACTTCAACAAATACTCTGCCAAGTGTCTTCTTTTAAAAAAGATCAAACTTAAACCTGTGCTTCAAAGCATTCCCGTGTCCCTCCTCATTAATCCTAGAATCAATCCTAAAATGAATCTTGGCCCCGACAGCCGAGTTTTGGATCAATGCATGTAAACTTTCTCAGTTCTGGATTCCTCATCTTGACGAAGCCCTCGTCAACCTTCAGCAGCAGACTCTCTCTCTTTTCTGACGTCTCAGATCCGCAGCCAAACGCTCCTCTGGAAGAGTTTTCTCTGTCGTTCCTCTCACATGCCCGCTTTCTCTAATCACAGGCCTACTTGGCAACCAAAGCTCCGGGAAGCAATCAATAAAACCTTGTTACTCTAATTGTGAGATTATAATCTTGACCGCGACGTCTTCTGCATACTCAAACGCCGAGTCCATTAGAGACGTTTCCCAGCTACTTTCTTCAGCCAAGAATGCAAATGCAAAGACTAACATTTACGCTGCGCTATCACATGCAGATGAACTTCAGCTGATAAAGGAGGAGTAAATTGACACAGTGGTGGAGGACGGCTTAGCATGCTAATCAGAAGCTGTGTTTTCAGAATAAGATCACATTCAAAGCCATAGTTTACACAAAACCAGAAAATCTGTCATTATTTACTCTCATATTTACCCTTATGTCATTCCAAACCAGTATGCTGTTATAATTCATACAATATATACTGTATATATATATATAGGCCTATATATTCCCAAATAAGCTTCCTTTGCTCACTAAAACTGCATTTATTTGCATTTATTTGCTGCATTTATTTAAAAATACAGTAAAAACTGTTAAAATTGTGACATATTATTACAATTTAAAATGGCTGTGAATATCTATGTGAATACCTTGTAAAATTAAATGTATTTCTGTGATGCGCAGCTGAATTTTCAGCATCATTACTGCAGTCTTCAGTGTCACATGATCTTCAGAAATCACTCTAATATGCTGATCTGCTGCTCGAGAAACATTTCTGATTATTATCAATGTTGAAAACAGTTGTGCTGCACAATATTTTTGTGGCGACTGTGATACATTTAATTTTCCAGGATTCACAGATGAACAGAAAGTTCAAAAGAAATTAGATTTTTAGGTGAAATATTCCAATACTCTTACATTGCAATTGGCCGTGAGGAAGTGATGGAAATTCACCAAAACACCATGCAGACAGAAGCAGCATTGATGTTTTTCTCTGTTATCAATTCTCTGGCTATATCTGTCTGTCTCTCTCATTCTCAGCTCCATTCAGCTTTCTGCTCTCTCTCTCTCTCTCTCTCTCTTGTTGGGCTGCTATCGATCGCCCGAGTCGGCTGGAGGTCAACCCTCGGCGGACTCCAGACTCTTTTGTTGGCGGCGGTTACCGTGGCGGTCCTCCGTGACCCTGAACACACAGAGGGCTCGTTAGGGGCCAAGCGGAGACGATCTCTCCCCTACAATCAGACGAGGTCAGAGGTCGCAGGAGGACAGCTCGGTCGACGTGAATGTGAAGACTCCTGGGAAGAACGAGGCGCCTGATCTGAGACAAAACGAGTGTGTGATGGACCGGCGATCAGACCCGTTTCCATGGCATTCATCTTCAATGGAGGCTTTTCAAATAGAATCCGTTTCAAAGTAACAGCGAATGGAAAATATCAAACAGCCAGAACGTCCAGTACAGTGCGCACATGTTGAATTATGAATTATAATGTCAGATTCTGAGATGCTGTAAAGAGCAACTTGAGCTTCAGCGGAAGAATCTGAGTCACATGATCAATGACACATTTATTTACATTTGATTAGTCGCATATATAATGCAGAATCATTTAATATCTATGTACTCATAAAACCTTACAATATTTCTATAATAGTTATATATTTTCAAAATGTTTACTTATAAGACCTTTCTAAAACATTTCTGTAATATGGATGTTTCACAAAATGCTAAAACGTTTTTCCCTTACGTTTCATTAGTTACATAGAAATAATGCAAAACATTTTTTTATATTTGATATTTATAATTTATTGCATTCCGTTTTACTTATAAAACCTTACAGTGTTTATATTTCTATAATATTAATATTTCTCAAAATTCTAGAACTTTGTTTATTTTTTAGGCATGAATTTATTTACTTACATTTGATTAGTCACATAATGCAGAATCTTTTATTATTTATAAATATAAATTGTAAATTATATATAAGTGTGAGTGTGAGTGTGAGTGTGAGTGTGTGAGTGAGTGAGAGTGTGAGTGTGAGTGTGAGTGTGAGTGTGAGTGTGAGTGTGAGTGTGTGAGTGAGTGAGTGAGTGAGTGTGTGAGTGTGAGTGTGAGTGTGAGTGTGTGAGTGAGTGAGTGAGAGTGAGAGTGAGAGTGTGAGTGTGAGTGTGAGTGTGAGTGTGCGTGTGCATGTGCGCGTGCATGTGTGTGTGTGTGTCTGTGTGTAACATTACAGCGTTAAAAATCAGTCTGAACGGCCTGAACCTGGTCGAGATACGCAGACAGATGTCAAATACGAGTCTCAGAGTAAACAAACCAAGACAAAAGGAGTGAAAGAGCGAGAGTAGAGGACGTTTTTCAGATCTTCTTCTAGTTTCATCCACCATAGAACTATGACTGAATGATATATTGAATATGTGCACAATACATTCATGATTTATCCATTAATATTGGTGAAAAGCACATCATTAGACTAGTTTGACGATTGCTCCTCGTCTAATAAGAAAGTCCAGATCATGCATTTCAGAACAACGTTGAGCTCTAAGCCACATGAAAATCAAAAATACGACTAAACAAAATGTTATTTCATTGGAAAAGATTTAAATACAGAAATAAGGATGAACGAAACGCTGTAAAGCCAGGCTTTCTTTCAAGTTTGAATCTTACCTGACTCGGGGAGAGGAACTCTTGGTTGTTCTCACTCATGTACATGTTGTCACCATCAAACTGCGGACAGATGGAGAGAAGAAGATTAAAGTTTGATTGGTCAGACAGCCGAGATAAAGGAAAATGATTGGCATATCAGACAGAACGTGGAAAAAAGGGAAAGAACAATTCCATCAAAACCGTCAGAGAGACACGGAGAGAGAAAGAGACTGTGGATCTGCTACAAACTCTAGTGTGCAGCCTATCTAGACAGCATCTTAGGGCACGTTCTTCGTCTTCTGGTTTAATTCTAAAGCAGCATTGCAACATTTCTACTGAATACTGAAATGTTTTGATTCTAGATCGAAGCTTTAATGTGAACACTACCTTTATAAGAGAGCAAAATATCAGCCATCATATTGGATTCTATGGTGTTTGCTAAAACCACAGAAATCAATATGACATTACAAACTCAACAGACGGTTCAGAAAAGTGGACAGTAGGTCAGCACAATATATCAGTTAGAATATCAGTACAATATCGTTTCATAAAATATAAATAAATAGCATTTTATATAATAATAACAATGATAACATACATTTTATATTAAATATAAAAACCTAAAATATTATATATACAATTTTTTTTATTATTATATTTACATTATATCAATTTTGCATTATTGGTCTCATTATATCATATATTTTTATTATATCATATATTATTTTACCAAAATCCAACTTTTATACTGAATACTAAATCATGTTTAAACTTTAAACTGGACCTTAAATATGAACGCTGCCTTTATAGGAAGGCAAAGGCCATCATATTGGTTTTTGACTATGTAAATATTAATAATACTGATATTGGTTTTGGGCCATCAGTTGTCAGCTTTCACATGATAATATTTAATATAATTTGGTAAAAAATGGTAGCATCTAAATGAACTCGTTTTATTGAAATAAAAATGAGTGTTTAGCATCACTGAATCAACCTAAATACATTATCTTAGAGCAAAAATAAATAAATAAAAAATAAAATATGATATCATAATTTTTATGGGTTGAATAAGGTAAAATAGCTCTTTATGCTAACAATTGCAGGTCATCACTTTTTACAGTGCATTTATACTATGTATTTATACTAATAGAAACTTAAAATATTTATATTTCTCTAAGTATCTCCTGTTTTGAATGAATTTAATTGCATTTATAATCAAATTAATAACGCATTGCACAACTGCATCACATTAAAGATCACATTGTCATTTTAGCACAGTGCAAAAAGTCAAACACATGCTGATATTTCATTTGCAAACAACTTTTGCTACTGACAGACTGAACAGGTCAAAACGAGACAGCAAAACCATCCTGGGTCTGAAATGATGGAGCGGTGCGAAGGAAGGATATGACAGCTCGAAAGAGAGAATTTGAAAACCGACCACAATTGCCCTGCAGCGCGTGTCCTCAGACTGAAAGGTTGAGCACAAACACGTCGCTCATGCCTTTATGATTCTGAACGAAATTACTCATAACTTCAGCTTTAAATGCAAGAGCAGGACGAGCGCAGCCACCAAACACTGTCAGAACTGCGCAGAGCGTCTCTCTTATGAGCTCTGACAGCTGTCAAATATAAGAGAAGAGACAGACACATACAGTTGCAAACAATTTATTAACAAATCCTGGCGAACAATATAAAAACACATCATCAAACGGCTAATCCGAGGAGTGCAGAGGAAGCCTTCTTTATTATGACTGAAGAAATATAAAGGACTCAATTAACTTGCTAATCGTTTCTTTATAGTTATGTCTTAATTGCTTCATAATCACTCATCAGACAAAACCTTATTGGAAACCACCAAGCAACAGTCATATTAACACAACAAATATCAGACAAACAAGCCAAAACAAAATAGAGCTCCGCAAACAGGAGGTGCGTCAGTGCGGTGTTTGCTAAAACCACAGAAATCAATACGATACTAGAAACTCAACAGACGTTCAGAAAAGCAGATAGTAGGTAATGCACAATATATCAGTTAACATACAGCATCGGTTTCATAAAACATTTGCATTTTTTGCATTATTGATTTTATAATATTATTACATATATTTGAGATTTTTATACATATTATATTTTTATATTATTTATTTAAAATTATGGATTTAAAATTATTTATTTATATATATATATTTTAATTTATAAAAAGTTTCAAAAATTAATAAAACGATTAGAGATTTATTGCAAAAGCTGCATTTATGAGAAGGCTAAACATTGGCTATCATATTGATTTATACATTATTCATTTTGGTGATGATATTGTTTATGGGACATCATAGAGATCTTCATATCAGCATGAACCAAAATGCATATCAGCATCAATGCAAAGTGCAACCAAAATGCATATTGCATGTGCATCCCTAGTAGATGACATTTAACTTTATGTTTTATGTTTTGTGGGAAAGATCACAACATCTCACATGCATTTAGTGTATCACCTGCTGTACATTCCAGATATATGGATCACACACACACACACGCACACACACACACACACACACACACACACACACAGGTTTGTTTTTGTGAAAAGTGGGGACTCTCCATAGGCGTAATGGTTTTTATACTGTACAGACCGTATATTCTATTGCCCTACACCAACCCTACCCCTAAACCTACCCCTCACAGGAAACTTTCTGCATTTTTACTTTCTCATAAAAACTCATAAGCTTGTTTCCTCATGGGGATTTCAAAAATGTCCCCACAAGGTCAAAATTTACTAGTATTACTATTCTTGTGGGGACATTTGGTCCCCATAACGTGATAAATATCAGGTACACGCACACACACACACACACACACACACATGCACAGAGTGAGAATGAGAGAGTTTCTCTCTTTCTGTGCCTCCTCATCTCTCTCTCTCTCTCAGAGAAATGTGATATTACACTGGCGTATAATGACAAAGCCGTCAAACAGCTGATGGGGGTCGTAGAGCATTTCCAATGTGAACACCTCCCTCCCCCACATGCATATTATATGGATATGAGTGTGTGTGGGTGTGTATGTGTGTGTGTGTGTGTGTGTGTGAGAGAGAGAGCTAAACAGTCATCATGCATTTATATATTCCATACTGCAAACTGCAGCATCAATAATACAGTATTACAGCATCTCATTGCACACACACACACACACACACACACACACACACATGACTAAAGGCAGCGCTGATAGTTTTGTTGATCGTCTTCTTCTAGAAACGCAGCAGCATATCTGACCCCCCACCCCACCTCTAATTAAGATGCAAATATATCCAAACGCACTATAGACATCTTCACAAATTACACCCTTTCACTGTGTGTGTGTGTGTGTGTGAGTGTGTGGGGGTGGTGTGAAGTTAAAATGGAAGATTAAAAGACTTTCCCCCTTATCTGTAGATTCTATTACATTCAGACATGTGTGCACAGAAATATACACAATATAGCGTTTAAACATTTGGGGTCAGTATGATTTATTTTAAAGAATGTGGCAAGGATGCATTAAATTGATCAGAAGTGACAGTAAAGTCATTTCAAATGTAACAAAAGATTTCTATTCCAATTAAATGCTGTTCTTGTGAACTTTCTATTCATCTGTGAAGCCTGAAAAATTAAATGTATCACAGTTTCCTCAACAATATTGGGCAGCACAACTCAATTGTTTCAACATTGATAATAATCAGAAATGTTTCTTGAGCAGCAAATCAGCATATTAGACTGATTTCTGAAGATCATGTGACACTGAAGACTGGTGTAATGATGCTGAAAATTCAGCTGCGCATCACAGAAATTAATTACATTTTAACATAGGTTCACAAAAAACTGCTGTTTTAAATTGTAAAAATATTTTACAATTTTCCTGTATTTTTGTAAGTAAATGCAGCATTGGTGAGCAAGAAAACTGGCAAAACCATTAATTTCAATTCTCCACGCAAACTTACTACACACACTTAACTTACTTACCCAGATGAATGTTTTATCACTCAGTAGTTGCTCTTTAATTGTGATTTAATTGAGATTTTCTGATTGCAGATGCTGGTATCTGTCAGGGTAGAGTGTGTTTACGTGTGTGTGTGTGTGTGTGTGAACCTGGTATTTATCACTTTATGGGGACCAATTGTACCCACAAGGATAGTAATACCAGTAAATTTTGACATTTGTTAGTTCCCATGAGGAAACAAGCATAGTTTTATGAAAATCTAAAAATGCAGAAAGTTTCCTTTAAGGGGTAGGTTTAGGTGTAGGTAAAAAACATTACGCCTATGTAATATCCCCAGAAAACATGGAAACACAACGTGTGTGTGTGTGTGTGTATGTATCCTGATGTAAGAGTCTATAAAGCATTTCACAGACGATCATAAACTCTGTTAATACAGCTCATATTATATCACACCTTTCCACTCAAGGCCAGTTCCTGTAGAAAGAGCCACGACTACAAACACCTGTGTATACAGTTAAAAACATACCGAGATTCAATAAAACATTCATTCTGTTTTCATGTGGTTTCTACTAAAACAGCCCTCAAATGACCTGTGTCTCTGCGTTTCAGCGTCTGTGTTTCCATACTGCACAGTATGTACTTAGTATGTACTATTTTTAAATAGCATGTTAGATTAGTATACATTATGCACGAAAAACAATGCAAACACTAATATGCTTTATTCTCATCACACGACCATTTTCACACAGCGATTGTGATTGATTTCACGCCTGCAAACAGAAGGTCAAGTGCATCGCATGTGGTTTACAGTTCTGATGCATATAGCACATTTTGACAAATGTCATCCAATGCATGCAGAAGGGTGTGCACAGTATACATACTACAGGACTAGTATGACTAGTATTTGTCCACCTCCTCTCTCTCTCTTTCTCTCTCGGCACGTCTGCCACGCCAGGCTTTTCTATTACCCGTCTAATTGCACATTCGGCAGTAACAAGAGCTCATTAGTGCTTAATTACACACGTGTTATTTAGTACAAACATCTCCATTTGGGCCCCTTTTGCCGTGTAATTGTTCTGAGGGGACGGCCGTTGAGATGAAGGACA